GTGTGTGTGTGTGTGTGTGTGTGTGTGTGTGTGTGTGTGTGTGTGTGTGACTAAAGTGATTATCAATCAATCAAAAATTTATTTATATAGCACATTAAACACCCCAAGGCAACCAAAGTGCTGCACAGCAAAATATAAATATCGCAATATAAAACATGCAAACAATCCCCACTTTCAAATTAAAAACAACAAGAGAAAGACAGAGACTGAACAGAGCTGAGAAGGCTCTGACCCCTTTAGTCACTAGCTGTATCCTGGGAACCACCAAGAGCATCTGAGCTTCAGATTTCAGAGCTTCACCAGATTGATAAGTGTGTAGCAGCTCAGAAAGGGAAACAGGTGACAGACAATTTTAAACATTTAAAAACCAAGAGTAAAACTTTAAAATCAACCCTAAAAGAAACAGGCAGCCAGTGAAAAGAATGCAATACTGGGGTAATGTGCTCACATCGTCTAGTCCCCGTTTACAAATGAGCAGCTGAATTTTGGACCAGCTGAAGACGGTGTAGCAGAGACTGGTCAATCCCACTGTAAAGGGAGTTGCAATAATCCAGTCTGGAGAAAATAAACGCATGAATAACCCTCTCAGCGGTATAAAGGGGAAGATAATGCTCAACCATGCTGACAAACGTTAAATGAAAAAAAATTAGATCAAACCACTGCACTGACCTGTCTGTCAAATTTGAAATTATTGTCTAAAATAACCCCAAGATTCCTAATAAAATGACAATCTGAGTCCAAGGAGCCAACAGCACTGTTGAATCCTACTAGTAGGACCACTGTTTTATTTTAATTTAGACAAAGAAAGTTTAGCTCCGTCCGTCTTTTAACGTCTTTTAAAAAATTCTGCAGATTCTCCATACACTGAGGTCCACCAGACCTGAAAATTAAATAAATCTGTATGTCATCTGCATAAAAATGAAAGGACACCTTATATTTCTTGAAAATGGACCTCAGCAGAAGCAAATAAGGTGAAAATAAAATGGGGCCCAGTATGGAGCCTTGAGGTACCTCACAACTGAGGTGCCCCTGTGGAAGAAAACTCTCCGATTTGGACAGAAAAACTTCTTTGAGACAAATAGAACTCAAACCATTTAAGAGTTGTTCCTTTCATCCAAAAGACTGATCCAAACGTGATAATAAAACTTCATGATCCATTGTGTCAAAGGCAGCAGTGAGCTCAAGAAGAATTTAAACAGCAGAAGCACCAGAATCAACAGTTAAAAGCAAATCATTGCACACCCTGAGAAGAGCTGTTTCAGTACCTAAAACCAGACTGAACCTTCTCATGAATTCCATTCAGATCTAAGTCATCCTATAGCTGAAGATAAACCACCTTCTCTAAAATTTTGAAAGGCAGCTTTGAAACTGGCCTTAAATTTGAAAGAACATTAGGGTCAAAGTTTCTTTTTACAAGAGGTTGAACGACGGTATGTTTAAAGGCAGCTGGAAGGGAAGTGTTGACAAAACCAGCTACCCATGGACCAACAGTGCTAAAGACCTCTTTCAAAAGTCTGGAGGGCATAAAGTTACCTGGACAAAATGAAGGCCTTAAATATTGAACTAATTCAGAGATCTGAGGAATATTCAGGTTTAAAATATTCTAAAACAGCAGGAGATAGGCCTACATGTAAGATAACAAGAATAGGGTTGTGCAAAGGTAAAAACCTGATAGCACTGTCTTTGTCAATATATTTTAAAAACCTTTAACAAAGTGAAACAGAAGGAGTCAGGTAAGAAGAATCATAATGATTTAAAAGAGAGTTTAGAGAATTAAAAATAATTTGAGTCTTGCTAATATTTTCTGACATGAAATTAGAAATAAAATTAGTCTTTGCATCTTTAACAGCAGTCTGATACATAGTTAAAGAATATTTTAACAACTCTAAGGAAGTCCAAGGAAATTTGAAGCCTATCTTTCTTCCATCTTCTTTCTGCGTGCTGGCAGGCACGTCTGAGTGCAGGAGTGTGACCATTGAGCCAGGGCTCTGTGGCTAGTTTAGCGCGTTTAGATTTAAAAGAAGCAATAACATCTAAAATATTAGAACAAACAGAATTAAAACCATCCAGGAGCTGATCAACATTATCAAACTGGTGAATCTCCAAAAAGGGAAGCTCAAAGTCAGTAAAAGCAGCTTTAAAAGCTTTGAGGCTGTCTGTGCTATTATAGAACTGAATAGAATTATCTTTATTGCCATTATACAGAGTGTACAGCAAGATATAGGTGCTACTCCCTTTTGGTGCAAGACAAATATAAATAAAATATAAAATTCTAGAATATATATATAAAATGTATATCACGTATATGTGAACATTTCACAGTTATTCAAGTYCAGAATACGAACACTGCACATTGTTGAGATAGCTTTTGCTCAGTGGATAACAGTTGCAGCCGCAGTAGTGGTAAAAATAAACATATTGAACATTATTATGTTATTGATGAGCAGGAAGTTCAAGGTTATTTCCTTTGTTTTCACGTTCAATAGCAGATTTTCATCTGAGCACAGTTTCTGGACCTCCTCTCTGTAAGTTGCCTCGCCTCCCTTTGAGGCTTGTCTCTGTGACTTGTCCTCTGGGAATTTGACTGCAAATTATTAGTCTTTTTAAGTTTTCTAAGAGCAGCTGTTTGAGGTGTCTGTCTTATTATTGACTGAGTGACAGCCGTTTTTGTGTTTTTTAAGATCACTTGGCCGTGGCAGCCATTTTGAATCATGTTGACACCACATGTTAATCTCTTGTAGATATACATTGTGGTTACTTTGTAAAGTTTTGTTAAATTTCATGAATTAGTTGAGATATTTTGGAAATAAACTCAGAGATGTGGGAAAAAAARGAGCTTTCGCTTTTCAGCACTGGGAGATAACAATATGGGGAGGCCCACCACAAATTGGTAGTACCTCTGTGTGTATCTGTAACCACAAAAATAAGGTAGGCCACCAAATTGGCCCAATAATTATCCAACACATTCTGTTTAATCAGCACTGTGTTTTCAGTGTTGTCATGAGACTACTTCATCTAAACTGGACTGTAAACACAGATAGTGTGTGGTGCAGTGTGTTTAACTGAACCC